CCTCTTCTCCGGAGTTCACATATCTGTTTAGCTTTCTTCTCTTCTATTCGACCGGAAATGATTTCTTAAGTGCATTGCTGACGTGGCTCATAAAAACCCTTTACACTGCTGGTATTTCAGATCTAATCCATATATGATGTCTGAGGAAGCTGCTAGAGATCTCATTCCACTACCTGAAGCTGGGATGAACAATGAGATCCCCAGTAATGGGAGTGTTCCAGCAATAAGGGTTGAGAGCATTGATAAAAATTCAAAAGATAAGGAAAGAGAAAATCCTGCCTTACTGGTTGGACCTTGCCTTAATGGAGACGGTAAGGTGAATACTGGGGCAGAGGTGGGAAATTCTGAAGTGGAATACATAGAATCTGAGAATTTGAATGATGTAGAAGATGTTGACACAAGTCTCAAGGTAATGATTCCTGATATAGTTTGATGTTTCATTTTAGTATTTTGCATCTCGGTTTTGCTTCTTTATATTGGTTTACAAAAGTCTCTTTTCAATGTCTTTGCCTCTCCTTTTTCATTTGTAGACACTGTTGACTGGGCTTGACTCCAAGGACTGGGTTTTAGTCTGTGAGGCACTCAATGACGTTCGGCGTCTGTCCCTATTTCACAAAGAAGCAATGGTTGATATGTTGTAAGTCTTTGTCACCTAGGATATAACTTGAAAGATGTTTGATCATGATGTTCTAGCTGGTTAGACATATCTTTGTGTATGCTCCCCTTTTGTTCTGTCTGGTCTTACTTATGCTTATTACTTAAAATGAGCAGGAGAAATGTGATCTCCCTTGTTGTGAAATCTTTGAAAAATCCGAGAAGTGCTGTTTGTAAGACTGCTATTATGGCATCAGCTGACATTTTCAAAGCATACTGTGACACCATAGTTGACTTGATGGATCCACTGGTAACTTTTCTCTTTTGTGACTTGTGTGACTGCCTTGGCAATATATTTTCACCTAATTTTACCTTGTTCTTGTGCTTATTATGTGACTGTTTCCTTGCTTAGCTTGTACAACTTCTTCTGAAGTCTTCACAAGACAAGCGATTTGTTTGCGAGGCAGCTGAAAAAGCTCTAAAAGCAATGACAATGTGGGTTTCTCCATCGCTGTTGTTACCGAAGTTGCAACCAAATTTGAAACACAGAAATCCTAGAATTCGAGCAAAAGCTTCAAGCTGCTTTTCTCGAAGTGTACCACGTCTGGTGAGAGTTCAAAGTTCTAAAATCTCTTCCTTATGCACCCTGACTTGTGAATTTTAGTAATTACTATTTTCATTCTTACATTTTTTTCCTGCAATTGTTGTTAACGTAGTTTGTTTGTTATTTGCTGACTAATATCTTTTCCCTTGACTGTTTTATAGACAATATCTTGATACAAACTCCACCCTAGGAAACCCTTCTTGAGAGCGTTTTAAGAATTACTTCTTGAGAATGTTTACTAATTACTTTACTGGTTAAAGGAATGGATAGGTAATAATTTGTTTATCTGCTGACTCTGACTAAGATCTTTCCCTTGGCTATGTTTTATTGACAATGCCTTGATGCTGAACTCTACCCTAGTAGGACACCCTTCTTGAGAGCGTTTGAAGAATGAATTTTTCTGATTAAGGAAATGACTAGGTAACAATTTGTCAGTCATTTGAGTATATTAGGAACTTTTACATGGTTTCTCCAATAAGTTTTGTTCACAATGCTATAATTAACCGCTTTCAATACCCTTCTGGTGGTTATTTTATTATTCAGCAGTATAAATTTGTTCTTGTTGAATGAAACAAGAAAGATTACATATTAACGGCCCCTTAACATGGAAACATTTTCTGGCATTTGTGTCTTTTCATGTATGATCATATCACTGAAATGTGAAAGAGGAATAAACTTTGTCCTGTTCTTAGTTTTTGTTTTCTAGCTGGTTGCCCAATTCTCTTTTTACTACTAGATCTGGTCCTTACTAACAGAGTTGCATGTTTTACAGGGAGTAGAGGGAATTAAAGCATATGGAATTGAGAACTTGATCCGAATAGCTGCATCGCAGCTCAGTGACCAGCTTCCTGAGTCGAGGGAGGCCGCTCGTTCACTGTTGTTAGAACTGCAAAATATCTACGAAAAAGCATTCAATGTTATCCCCCCACCAGTAGTGAATGAAGACCCAGAAACAATTACCGTGAGTGAGGACCCAGAAACAATATCCTGGGAGCATTTCTGTCAATCAAAGCTCTCACCTTTGAGTGCTCAAGCAGTTCTTCGTGTAACCAATCTCACTAGGGAGGGTATTGTTTTAGGTTCATAGTATTTGTTCAAGCAATGAGCTATAATTCACCATTGTCCTCCATTTTTTGGTTTGGTTTCTTATACCTGTATATACCATGAAAGGTTTCAGGTGTTTGCGAGGCAGTTAGACCATATATAGAGCTATAGTTCTATAGTTTCTTGAAATATGGTTTAGATTACGTTTGCATTATACTTAAAGTCATTCATGAATGCTTGCTTTGCATTGCAGTATACATGTAATTGTGCTCGTTCATTTTTCCCATGGTATGTTAATGATTGAAAAGCAAATTCCATTATTGTGAAGCCAAGAGAAGTTTTTTATAATGGCATTGTTTGCCATGTTATGTTCGTTCGGGAGTTGCTGCTCTTTTCCCATGGTATATTAAGCCTTTTGTTTTGGAAGTTGCTGCATTTCATCTTCACGCTTACTTCTAATTACCGTCTTGTGCTCTCATATCCATCTTGTGCTGAATTATTCCCTATGATATATATGAAGATTTTCCTTGTCCACTTGCGTCTTTTTCTTTAATTTCATGATGTATAAAGCTGTACTTGTGATGTATCCACTATGTAAGGGGAAGTCCTGTCTGAACAAATGCGATAGGCTGGTAGCACTTCTGCTTGTCGACTCCTTGAGGCAAGAGGATCATACACCGTGTGGTGGCCAACAACTATGCTGAGATTTAAATTGCAAATGTTAGAATCCAGGGCTTTGCACAGTCCATCAGTCACGAGTGCAACCAGGCCAACACTATACCAATGCAAAAAGAATTATTTTTTCGCTGAGGCAATCTAATTTGGCCAAGTGCGTCATTCTCAATTTATCAAGAGAAATGGTTGGAAGATACAAGTTTGGACTTGGTCTTGTGTGTATCTTCATCAACACATGTTACGGGTCAACTTCCTATGCCGTCCGAAATTCTTTAGAGTGATAGGTCTAATAGATATATTTTATATAAAAGTTCATTTCAATCCATAAAAAAATAATCATTCAGTAATTGCAATGTGCAAGTAATCTCCTCATTCCTCAGATCATATGAGATTTTCCAAAGAATTCAACTTACAATGAAGAACCAAGAAGTGGGCACTGCCACACGGGTTATAATCCTGGCAATGGTGATATCAGTGCTATCGCTATTTGTTTTAGTCGGAGTTCTTGTCCTGATTCATATCTGTGTACTAGTGAGGGAGTTCAACAGAAGAAGCGACAACATTAACATGGCGGAGAGAGGGAGCACCAACATGTCCATGTCCAAGGAGGATATAGAAAAGCTTCCTTGCTTCATTTTTCAAGCCAAAGAGAAAGGAACTAGTACTCCAGTGGACTGTGCAATTTGTTTGGATAATTTCAAGGTGGGTGATAAGTGCAGAATGTTGCCTCAATGCAACCACAGTTTTCATGCCGAATGCATTGACTTGTGGCTCCTTAAGTCTCTCTATTGTCCAATTTGCAGAACTAGCACCGATATTCTGAGGGACTGTTCCATATCTGCAGGAGAAAGCAGTGGATGCAGTGGAAGTGGTCAAACGAGAAATTGATAGATCTAATTAGTTGATAGTGAGTAGATTCGTCTTTATTCTTGGTTTACCAAAGAGCTCATATCCACGCACCAGATGTTCAGTCCTGGATTTGGGGTGACTCTGGGATTGAATTGGACCTTAGCTAAGCATTTACTATCAGAATTGAACAGTTGCTTTAGTTTGTGTGCAGAGTGATGTTCTTTCTTTTGTATATATTCAGATACATTTAAACACTGGGTTACAAAATTATATTGTACTAACTTGTGAGCTATGTGGAAAAGAGTAGTACCAGTTAATGTTCATAATAAAGATTATCTTATTAATACTGTAACTTGATTATCAAAATATTTGGGACCTGTGAGTGCATGCACAAAACTTGAAAACTATTGAACATACATTATATGGATCGATACCTGTCTCTGGCCTCTAGTTGTTTTCTTTCTCGAATACAAATGAAAACTAACAAAGCAAAAATCAAAGTGACAACATAGTACAAGCTATAAACCTCCTTACATTTTCATCATAGGTGTAAGCCGGCGTTCGACAGGTGCTAGTTTGGTTTAAACCAAGAGTATTCTTTACTTTGTGACTAAACAGCTACACATCGAAAACCCACCTTGTTTACCCTTCACGTATAAAAATCAGAACTGTTTTACATCCAAGAAACCAATTACTTCTCTTCAACTTTCTTCTAAGGAGCATAACTTTTTCCCTTGGCTGACATAATTAAGCAGTTTGGAACTATGAAAATCATGTTATTTGAATAATCTTATCTTAAGTTGTTAGAGAAAGTCCACAATTAATTATTTTATGTCTCAACAACGCCATCTCAAGTAACCTGATTCTTTTTCATGGGTCGAACATGTGAAAATATCTAGTGCTATATTGAGTTGTGTGACTATCTTATCTAAAAATCTCACATACTTCAATACGTCCTCCTCTCTGTTTTTGAAAGACGGGCTGATGGAAGAACTTCTAATGGGAATTTACACAAGGGACAGGACTAAACATCTCAATGTCATTACTTCTATCTGCATTTTCAACTTAATCAACACATGCTGCCTCACATTTTCACAGCCTTCTACTGCTGAATGCAATCCTTCAACTAGGAAAATTTTCAGTACCATATAACGTGGGTGATGAAGATGGAAACTAGGGTAGTTTCTTGAATGATGAAGCCTGTGGTGGACCCTTTCGAGATTACCTCTATGCAATGGGAATCAGAGCAAATAAAACAGGACAAATGTACCTGAATTCGACTCAACAAACAAACTGCTTGACTAAGATGAATGATGAAGGAAATGGAATTGATGTTTCAGGTTGTGGTGTTGAGAAGCTAACAAAAACTGGTAGCAGCTGCTCAGATTTCACTGTTGATGACGTTAACATGAAGTTCGGAGACAAACTCAGAAAGTTGAGTTATAACTGTCAATTTCAGGATACTGCAGATAAAAGAGGTCATTTGTGCGAGTTCTGTGTAAATAGCTGGAAAGATATAAAGGAAGTGAGGTCGAAAAATGATAAATACGCAAAGGCAGAATCAGATATATGTAGGTTTGCAGTATTAGTATCACTAACAAGTACTAGAATTATAGATCAAGCATGGCTCAGAAAGCTTTACAATAGCATTTCAAATCAAAAGCAACCTGTGAACTTTGCATATACAGAAGAAAAAAGGCAAGAGCAAGACGAGCACTCGGAGCTGACAGAAAAACACAAGTTTAGACCAGGTAATCCAACTTTTAGAATTTTGTGCATCATTAGAAGATGGATTACTTCACGTTTAATGTGTAATTTGAACTTGAAACAGTTTCACCAGTCCTAATTGGAGGAATCCTAGCAGTCCTGATAACTGTATTTATCTCAGTGTGGACATTCATAAGAAAGAGGGCCAATGTAGATGCATCTGAGAAGAAATTTGGCAATGTTTTTGCCACTCAGTGTACCTTCTAACAGTTTACAAGAATTTTTACGCTATCAGGTCACTTGAAAGATTATTGCCACCTTTTTCATCTTTGTAACTCTCCATATACGAACTAAAAAGGTTCATAACTTATTTGGCAGCTATAGATCTGGCAATGCCAAAAGATTCTAGTTTGGAAGTCTCCATTGAGGAGGTCTACTCAGCTACAAACATTCTAAATGAATCACACTTCATTGGTGAGGGGACAGCAGGTTACACCTATATTAATTTTGTTCTCCATTTATAGGAACTGATTTTTACTGTTGAATTCACTAATAATAATATTCCTGTAGAAAAGGTGTATAGAGGAGTTCTCCCTAACAATCAGGAGGTTGCAATTAAGCACATAATCCATGAAGAATGTATAGAAACATTCCTCAGGGAAGTCAAAAGCCTAACTAATGTCAGACATCCAAACCTGGTAGCCTTGCTTGGCTACAGCAAGAATGCCAAAGAATATTTCCTCATCTATGAAATTTGTCCCTACGGCAATCTCTCTCAGTGGCTCTTTGGTATGTAACAGTTCTCTCTGCTTTAAATGTCAACTTCTCCAATTGTTTCAACCTGCACAAGTACTGCATAACTCTACTCAGCAAGGCTTAAATAGATGGAAAGAAATCCACCTAGCGCTTTTTTGTCTTTTAAAGGATTTGAATGCTAAGTCACACTATTGAGTGCTATTGAAAGAGCTATTTCATTTCCTTTTGTTTCCTTGTCCCTTCTCTCTATTATGTAATGGCGAATGGTGAGATTACCTTTGTTGAAACAGCAAACAACAGAGTATTATCCTGGACCCAAAGGCTTGAGATTGCCATTGATAGTGCTAAGGGACTCGTAAGTATAATCCACCGCGATATAAAGGTAGAAAATGGTTATGAATTCCCTTCAAATTTTTGAACTTTGGACTTCCCTGAATGGCTAAGTCACTTGCTTTATATTAATCCACAGCCTACAAACACACTCTTAGGCCAGGATTTTGAAGCTAAGCTTTCTGATTTCGGATTGTCCAAGGTGATAGACATTGATGAAATCCTACATGATCTCAGAAGTGAGGGGCACCTATGGTTATGTCGATCCTGAATATGAAACAAACCATCATGTAAATTTAGCAGGCGATGTCTATAGTTTCGGAGTAGTACTTCTGCAGATCCTCTCTGGAAGGAAAGTTATCAATATGAACATGGAAAAACCAACACGGCTGGACAAAATTGTAAACAAATAACCATTTCACAAATCATATAATTCATTACATGTAGAAGATTATACGGATGTTGATAAATACCTGTCATTTCAGGCAAATCGCTGTTGAGGGAAAGAAGGGCAGTGGAATTTGTTGATCCAAAACTTTATGGAGATTACTCAACAGATGTTTTCCAGCTCACACTGGAGCTAGCTATTTCTTGCATTGCACCAAAGCAACAAAGACCCTCCATTGAGAAAGTAGTTGACAAGCTGGAGGAGGCCTTAGCTATAACAAGAACGGAAAAAGCTTCAACACCTCACTCTACACCAGTGTGGTCTTCAACTTCTTTCCAAGAGCAATATAGAACACTAGTTGAAAATGTCACCTAATCTATCTCATCATAGACAGTTCATTGAACAAGATATATACCGTAGTAATATAGAATTATAACATTACATCTATATATAATTCATTACATTCCCACAAAACTCAAACACAAGATCCTATTTTGCATCAGAGCTACAGAAATCAAGAAAGGTCTCACACAAACAAGTTTGCATATTGTTATCAAATCATAAGAAGTTAGTAACAAACAATAACACACACACAATACAGCGTTTTGGTCTTATCTACACTGTATACAAGTGACCTCTAAAAGACAAGATTGCCGTGTTGCACGACATCTCAGGAGTACCAGAAAGCAGGGGGGAAAACTACAGCCATGCTGGATTCTTCAGAGGGGTAACAATAGCTTTGACTTGCAAGTAGTTACTTAGGCTGTAGACTCCCTTCTCTCTTCCATGTCCACTCATCTTATAACCACCAAACGGAATGGCAGCATCAAAGATGTTAAAGCAGTTAACCCACACTGTCCCTACTCTAAGGGCTCGAGATATTGTGTTGGCTGCATCTATATTCTGGGTAAAAACACCCGCTGCCAACCCATAATGTGACGAGTTTGCCCTTCGGATGACCTCTTCAACATCCCTGTTTGTTTCAAGGTCAGGTTCAGTGTTAATAAACAAAATACAAGCACAGATACAATACAAATGAAATGTAATCTCACTTGAATTTCAAGAGGGACTGCACTGGTCCAAATATCTCATCTCTGGCAATCAGCATGTTATCCTAAATAGTTGAAAAATAATTTTAAACAAAACAATTAAATGTCATCAGTACGATGCTCATCTTTTTCACCTTACGTATGGATATATTCTATGGACAATGGCAGTTATACCTGGACATTTGAGAAGACAGTAGGTTGGACATAGAAGCCCTTGGAACCCAATTTTTCCCCTCCAGACTCGAGAGTAGCCCCGCTTTCAGTACCAGATTTTATGTACTTCAGGATCTTCTCAAATTGCTCTGTATCAATCTATTGATAACACAAAACATTCATGTTACAACTACTTCAGAAATGTAAATGGAAGTCCGTAATTACTACTTCTCTTTGCTGGAAATTCATGATTTAAGTTTGTGTAAGATGCTGAAAAGGAAATAATAAAGGTACCATTGCCTGAAAAGTTGGCTACATCCAAATTGGTGAACATATATTATTCCTTCTTGTCCTTAAGTTGGCAAAGAATTTGTTTAACTATTCTCTTTTTATATATTATCCATGACAGAGGGGACAGCGATACACGAAAAAACAGTACCTGCGGACCTTGTTCAACTCCCTTCTTGAAAGGGTCTCCAACAATGCGTTTTAAAGCACGAGCTTTGGCTTTCTCCACAAATTCATCATATACTCTTTCATGTACGAATGTCCGAGATCCAGCACAGCAGCATTGTCCCTGCAGATACTTGAAATTTATTCCATTCTGGAGCAAGCATCAGAGGTTGCAATTTTCCAAGAGTGGAAATTTTTGCTACCTGGTTAAAGAAAACAGCAGAATGAGCCAACTCAACAGCTTTATCAACGTCTGCATCTTCACAAATGATGAAAGGAGATTTTCCTCCGAGCTCCAATGTCACAGGTTTTAGGTTGCTCTTTGCAGCTGCACCTACGACAGCTTTACCAGTTTCTGTGGACCCTGTAAAAGCAATCTGTAGACACCAAAAGGAGTGATGTAGAGACACATCGCAATTTAGACATCACAGAAAAATTAAAAAATCACCAAAAAAAAACATTTTACAGGGGGAAAAGATGCAAGTAATGTCGAGGACCAAGCTGTTTAAATCTATACGAAAACAAGTAGTAGAAGATGTCAGTGCTCCTTCAGTCTCCCTCATCTATTCCAGAGTATTCACTCAGAAAACTTTACACATCACAGCTGCATCAATAAAAGCAAGCATGAAATACAAAAGCTGAAAGGACATCAGGATGCATAACCTCTTTATGTTGTTTATTGACTTTTAATGGGGAAGCTGGAAGAAAAAGATATGATTTTCTTCATTTTCTACATGTGGATTATACTATCTAATGAGACACTATAATTAGGCTATTTACTTCTTTTAATCTTCTTTGGGATGGAAGAGGGGGTAGAATTAGCGACGGATAGCTTCATTGCTACCTAGAGATATGTTGAAACTGAAATACCGTGTTCTGACACTCCTTTATACAATCCAACATTTCAAATTTGATACTGAAACTGCCTTGGACTTTGTCGTGTAGGTTTATCAGAAGAAACATAAGCCATTTCTTCTGTAAATTCCTATTCAGGAACTAAAGCCAAAACTCAGAAAATACCTTATCGACATCCATATGACTGGCAAGATCTGCACCTGCACTACCGGATCCAGGAATGACATTTAAGACTCCAGGGGGAAGTCCAACCTGACAGTTGGAGTGAAGACAAATTACATTCTATCATCTTGTATAGATGGAGAAATCTTCGATTTGAGCTGCAATAATTGTGGAAAGTTTCCACTTCTATATTTGAAACTACTAAATTTGTAAACAACATACTAGAAATAACTAAATGACAAGTACAAATGAGTACTCATTAGAATTCTGTGAATTCACGACCGGTGCAGACTAAAAATGGTTATATACCTCATGGAATAACTTTGACACATACAGGGCAGAGAGTGGTGTTTGTTCTGCTGGTTTTAGTACGACAGTGTTACCACAAGCAAGTGCAGGGCCAACTTTCCAGGCGAACATTAATAACGGAAAATTCCAGGGTATTATCTGTCCTGCAACACCAATTGGCTCATGCAGGGTCTGAACATGGTGCAAACTGTCAGCAGGAGCTGTAAGACCATGAATTTTATCAGCCCAACCTGAATAAGAAATGTAAGCAGAAATACTTAGAAAAGCATTTAGGGTGATTCAGCAAACATTAGAACGTCAATTGATATACAATAAGTGGTTATTAAACTGTCAAAAGGAAACATAACGCCATTTTTCTTATTTTCTTAACCAGCATAGTATCTGAAAAGACGAATGAGCATTGGTATTTCTTCATTTGCAGCTTGTTCGTAAGGCTTTCCCTTATCCCAAGTCTCAAGTGCTGCAAGTTCATCACTGTGCCTCTCAAGCAAATCAGCAAACTGCAACATTATACATGACCTTTCCTGGAAATATTTGGTTAAGTAAGTACATTATTGTACATGCTTAAGTAAGACTGGGAGTTTAAACAAGCTGTAGTTGTCTGCAGAGGCGGATTGATTTCTCATATGGTCACTTTGCTAAATAGTTATTATCTCAAGAAGTCATTTTTCAACTTGATTCCAATTTTCTTCAACAAAGAAAGTGACTTATATTACTCAAATAATTACTATTAGTTGAACGACCAACTGAGAAATTAACTTCGGTAGAGGGACCATATAATACAGGAAATAAATATATATGTGAAAGTACTAAAATGAGAGAATATTAAAATCTAAACACGTATGTCCGATAGATCAATGTGTTCAGCGATAAGAACCTTAAAGGTTGAACATGTTAAGTTCAAATTCTAAATCCGCCTCTCACTGTTGGGACAAGGAAGAGGATATGGAAAGATAAGAAAGTTCGGTTACTGCACAAGTCATTTTAGGCCATGGTCCTTCATCAAATGCTTTACGGGCAGCAAAGACTGCACGGTTGACATCTTCAGTGTCGGCCTCCGCAACCGTAGTAATAGCTTCGCCTGTTCGAGGGTCAAATGTAGGAAATGTCTTCCCTGAAGACGTAGAATTCTCCATATTACACTTGAGATTTATAGAAGAAATAACATATAAATGAAAAGACTTTAGGTCAACCTGAGGCTGCATCAACAAACTGTCCATTAATGAGAAGCTGATTATATTTAACCTCAACAGGTGGAGTGATTGGCTCTTCATGCACCACGGCACTGCTACAAAACCTTCTGATACCCTTTCTCCAGTAGTTGGAGTACCTAACTGTAGATTGAAATTGCAGAACCTATAATTAGCTAGCTCCTTTCTCAAGAAAATCAGTTAAAATATCAAACAAATCAAGTGGGGTAATATCAAGACACAGTTAGCTTGTTCAATCATCAAGATACCAAAGAAAGAAAACACGGGTGAAAATAATTCTTCTGATTAGAAAAAGACTACTTTAATTATAATCTGTGAATGTATTTTTGGTTTACAAGTACTTGCAATATAGTTATTGGAGATAAAATAACCATCAACATTCTTTTATTGGTTAGAATGAATCCGACCGCAAACCCATCAAATTAAAATCCGAACCAAATTAAATAAACTCAACATTATGATTAAAAAACAAATACTGTTCCAGTTTCCTCAAAACCCAGCAAAGTACTATGTCACCTGAATTAAACTTCAACCTCAAAACAGACCATATTTATTTTTAATTACTCTTGGTGAGTTTGTCCACCCAATAGAAAAGAATCAATTTTTCCATCTTCCTCAAAAGTCACCAAGTTACTGTATTTGCGGCAATTTCGAGGCAAGTGTAATTGGAATTGCAGTACAAGAATGTAGTGGATTTGGGCTGATTCTTTCAGCAAGGGAAATTTGTCTCTGCTTTTGTGGTTGGGTTCGTGGCGATTCAGGCGGCAACTTCTGCTGTTGATGATGTGATATTTTATTTAACTGCTAAGTTGATTCTTTTTTATGTCTACTCAGGTGTTGAGATTTTCCTCTGGGACGCTATTCATTTTATTGAGTTTTATCTCTTCTTAGTTGGATTTGTGTTTGGTTAGAAGTGATGAAGTCCATAAAGGGACTGTTGAGTTAGATTCTAAAAAAATGCAAAATTAAGGGAACTGTAGAAGATGGGAAAAGGCAAAGTTATTTTCCCTTTTCTTGGAAGACATGGAAGAAGATGCGCCGCTGCCACGCCCAGAGGGGTTTGTATTTGCCTTCTTGGACCTGGGTAGAACTATAACGGGAAAGATGGTTTACTTGTTAGTTGGGTCGGATGTGGGTAAAGTTATTTCCCCTTCTCCTGGAAACCATTGAAGAAGACGCGCCGCCGCCACGCTACCATTATATGGGTTTGTTTTTGATTTCTTGGACTTGGGTAGAACAATAAGTTGTTAGTTAGATCCAATGCGGGCAAAGTTATTTCCATTTTCTTGGAAATCAACTCATGGAAAAAAGTTGCGCCGTCGCTGCCGCCGCCGCCGCCGTTAAAGGGTTAGTTTTGCTTTCTTTGGACTTGGGTGGGTTTTACATGTTAGTTGGTCGGATGCGGGTTATATTAGGGGCGGGTGGTTTTATCTTTTCATTTTTGGATAAAATGGGTTGATTCGGAGCTTTCCCTTAAAAGAACTATAACGGAGGACAAATTTAATGATTAAATGAAACCCTTTAACTCTGTGTTTAGCTTAGGTTCAAAATTTATTTCTAAATTTTGTTTAGACAATCAAGTAAACACTCTGCGTAACCTAAAATAATGAGGTCTACTTTATAGTACCATCTAAAGCCAAACTAGTCATTTCAAAAATAAGATAAATAGATTACTTTTAACTGATTAAATCATAGTTGATCAAAATTATTCACACTGTCATGTCATCAGTGAACAAGAGAAGCTACAATCATACTCTTTCCTTACCATTTTCATAGTTGCGGAATTTAAATAAAGAAGAACTTACAGAAATTTTCAAAGTTGCTTACAGAAATCTTAGAGGACCTTTATTTCATACAAAGCATAATGTTTACATAAAGAGAGAGCATTCAAAATTGTTCTGGTGAATAATTTTCGATGCCTAAGCTGAAAAATTAAAATGCCTTTTATAGGCAAAGCTGAGAGACAAAGAGATTTGAAAATCTAAAAGCTAATCTTCTGATTGACCCTTGATTCTCGTCCGTTGCTTTTGGTTAAAGCAAAAGTAAAGTGGTTGTCATCTTCTTCTTTTTGAAAAGCAAAGATGCCTGACTTAAAGTTGTTTGTCATCTTCTTTTTTTTGAATAGTGAAGATGCCTGACTTTGTCTGCCATGATGTGGGCCTTTGATAGCGAATTCCTTTCGTCGTGACTGAGTCAGCAAAAGATTCCGTCTTCTTTGAAGCTCCATTTGCTTCTTCCTTGGTAATTCTGATTCTATGAATCTCTACCTGGAAGACTAATTATTCTGGCTTTTAATAGCCTCAATTAGGACTCTTCAGTCAAAAGGATTTAGATAAGATCTGGCTAATGCTTTTGGATTAAGCACGTCGCCATTGTCATCACTTTGTGATGAGGCCTCATCAAGTAGCTGGTTAATAGCAGCTTCATCTGGATTTTCGTCAAGTTTTGAGAGAGCCTTTTCAAGTCTCTTTTTTAAGTCACTCTTTGAAGGTGACGCCTGAGATATTTCATTTCCCTTTGAAGGAGATGGATTGCCTTTTCTGGCGGGAGACCATCCTTTAATTCGAATTTCTTTGGACAAGAATTTGATCCTGTCAAAATCTGCAGGTCTATTGAGTTTTCAAATAATTTCCCAGATGTCATCTTGGATAAAACCCAACTACAGAGATTTCTCGGGAGTCTTAACTATGTAGCTGACTTTATTCCTAAAGTTAGACATATTTGCAAGCCCCTCTTTGACAGGTTAAAGAAGACTCCTTCACCTTGGGGTAACGATCATACTAAGGCAGTTGTTCTATTTAAAAATATGGTTAAGAACCTTCCTTGCTTAGGTATCTCTAACCCAGACTTTTTTATGATTGTTGAGACTGATGCTTCTGACATCGGATATGGTGGCATTCTTAAACAAAGAAAAGACCCCAAATCTACGGAGCAGCTGGTCCGTTACTATTCAGGAACCTGGAATTCTGCCCAAAAGAATTATAGCACGATCAAAAAGGAAGTCCTAGCTATTGTTCTTTGCATAACCAAGTTCCAAGATGATCTAGTTAACAAAGAATTTCTGCTTAGAGTGGACTGTAAATCTGCTAAAGAAATCCTTCAAAAGGATGTCAAAAATATTGTTTCCAAACAAATTTTTGCTAGATGGCAAGCTTTATTATCCAGCTTCGATTTTCAAATCGAATTCATTAAAGGTGAAAATAACTCTTTGCCTGATTATCTAACGAGAGAATTTTTGCAGGGTAAACATGAGACCACAAATCAGGCCAATGGCAGGCAAACAACCAGTTAGGACCAATCCTAATGAACCAGCCAGTACAGGTCCCTTTGCAAGGAGGCCTGAAATTAACCCAGCAAGACCTGATGTAAACAGGTACACAGCTTTGGCAAGTTTGCCACCCATTAATCCAACAGTACTCCCACAGAGTCGACCAACCGGAATGCTGGTATTAAAGAAACCTTTTGCAAAGGATCAAGAAGCCAGCACCTCTTCATCACCAAGCGGAGAACTTAGATTCTCTCAGAAACAGACAAGTGACTGCTACACAATAAAGCAGCCTCAAAATTTTGCAGAAGCAGTTACTCCAAGTAGCTCCTAGACGACTCCAAGAGAGAAAGAGAAATTTGAAATGATTTCTCTAAATATCATCCCAATCCTTGCACTCGACAAGGAATATGAAGGTTATGAGGTCAAACATCTCTTGAAGCCTATCTACACCAACAGGAATTACGTCGAGACAGACAATTCCTTAAAAACCAGAAGGTACTTTGAGTTTATTCTCATTGATACCGGATCACTAGAAATAGAACATGAATTGGCAGATAAATCTGACCCAGAAAGCATCGCCTATTCAAAATTGACGATAAAAAAGATCTTATCTCCGTATAACTGGCCTGTAGACCATCTGCAAACTCCGATCAATCTATCCAAGAGATCCAACCCTCAAACCTACAACTGGTTTGATTATAAAAACGCTTGGATAAATTTCATGTATGTCAGGCCAACCACCCACACGTGGTTTATCAAATATTGTCCAGAGGTATCAGCCTCAATCATACCAAGATGGTTCTATGAATGGTGGAGCCTTTTTGGTGGAAATAAGCAAGTGATGCCTCGTCAGTTTGTAGAAAATTATCCCCAATTCCAGGCTGAAGAAGGCATATCAACCCTCCCAGAGCACATCAAGCTCTGTAAGTACTTTATAAAAAGACGTTTATTTTATATTTTATCATGGACGTTTGTTATTGCAGATTTTGACAGGATCAAATTCTTGTCCAAAGAAATCCGAATTAAAGGATGGTCTCCCACCAGAAAAGGCAATCCATCTCCTTCAAAGGGAAAGGAAATATCTCAGGCGTCACCTTCAAAGAGTGACTTAAAAAAGAGACTTGAAAAGGCTCTCTCAAAACTTGACGAAAATCCAGATGAAGCTGCTATTAACCAGCTACTTGATGAGGCCTCATCACAAAGTGATGACAATGGCGACATGCTTAATCCAAAAGCATTAGCCAGATCTTATCTAAATCCTTTTGACTGAAGAGTCCTAATTGAGGCTATTAAAAGCCAGAATAATTAGTCTTCCAGGTAGAGATTCATAGAATCAGAATTACCAAGGAAGAAGCAAATGGAGCTTAAAAGAAGACGGAATCTTTTGCTGACTCAGTCACGACGAAAGGAATTCGCTATCAAAGGCCCACATCATGGCAGACAAAGTCAGGCATCTTCACTATTCAAAAAAAAGAAGATGACAAACAACTTTAAGTCAGGCATCTTTGCTTTTCAAAAAGAAGAAGATGACAACCACTTTACTTTTGCTTTAACCAAAAGCAACGGACGAGAATCAAGGGCCAATCAGAAGATTAGCTTTTAGATTTTCAAATCTCTTTGTCTCTCAGCTTTGCCTATAAAAGGCATTTTAGTTTTTCAGCTTAGGCATAGAAAATTATTCACCAAAACAATTTTTTGAGTGTCATCAGTGAACAAGAGAAGCTACAATCATATTCTTTCCTTACCTTCCCTTTTTATATTGTTATTCTAAATAGTTTATCAATAACTTCATAAAATTAATACATAAATTATATAAAAAAAATTCTATTATACTCATGATAGTTAATTACTTCGAAAATAGATATTTGATCAACTTAAGAAAATTAGTAATTAATTTTCATATTATAATTTTGAAAAGGAATCTCTAACAAACAAATTAAAAATAAAAGATGATTTACCTATCATTTTTTTGAAAAATTAACTTTAATGAAAGTGAAATCCAAACAGGTGAGAGATATAAAAAAAAAAAAAGGAAAAGAGAGAGTACTAAATTAAGATGCAGTCCATTCTTTTGCACATAAACAGTAGTAAAGACGTAGTATAAATACTTGAAGTGCGAAGCTGAGAAATGATCCGTCGTGTATGAGTATTCATTGCTGGAGACGAGAAAATTAAATAGAGATGGAGAAGAAGAGATAAGAATCGGAGCAACGTCAAGAATTCAGATACAGAGTAATTTTTGGACAGAGACAGATTTGCTGCTGCTAAAAATGCAGAGGTAGTCTAACTACTTGCACGTCATCAATTAGCTGATTCATTAGATATAAGCTTATCCCTTTTCTTCTCTGTGTTCCATTCCACTATTCCTTTCCTGAACCCTATGAAAAAAATATTGCCTTCTTTTTTTTCTGTCCAATCAAAAACAATCTAATATGTACAGGTAAAACTTACCCACAATATGTTTGGCGTAAACATCCGGTACGGGTAAGTTTTTTCCAATATTACCTTTGGAACTAGATAACTTTTAGGCACAATCAACTAGAAAAGAAGGTTGTATTTCACATGATTGAAAAGGGAATAATGTTGTAATCAAAAAGGCCTATAGTTCCTGAAATTTACAAAAAAGTTTTAAAAAAAAGGGTACTAGCTTTGTCATTACTCACCAGTCACCAGTACCTTTCAGTAATGCAAGGTGTTCTAACTAATTACATATGATGTGGCCTTCATTCTGCAGAAAAATCAGGCTCATCTGGCTTAAACAGCTTGGGCATTTTTAAGCTAGAAGAAGAATCAGCCATCTTCTGTTCTATTCCTCTTCTCGTATTAGTAGCAAATCGTTTGGCCAAAATTGTAGCTCCAAGTTGTTGGGAACCACGAGAACCACTGGCTACTAACGGTTGCTCAGGACCAGCGTCATCAAAACTTTGCTCATTGTAGTTACCCTCATCATTAGGATCTTGATTATAATAATAGCTCTCTTGTAGAGCCAACTCGTATTCCATCTTTTTCTTCTTATACCTTCTCCATGCAGCCTGTATAAAACAAGCACCCCATGTTCTCCACTGATGAGAATAGTACCTAAATGCATGCTGTAGCTTCATGCTGTGAAGACGTTTAAATTGAACTGCAAAAAATTTCAGGTCTTCAGCTCGAAGTGCAAATGCTTCAACTTCAGTAAGTGTTCTCACTGTTCGAGTTGAAGCTGGCAACTGCGTTGAGTTAGGCAGTAAGGCCCAAGTCAGCAATTCTTCACCACAAAAATCATTAGGTCCAAGGGTGATTGAATTGAAGAATCCAGATCTTCCCCCATTTGTCGTGGAGCTCTCTAGTTGTCCCCTGATGATAAAGAGCATCTCACTCACTGGATCATCTTCTAGAACAACATATGTGCCCATTATGCTCAGGGTCGACACTAGGCGTTCACATATTGCATCAAGCAACTGGTCATCCATTTGCTCAAAAAATGGAACCTGCGCAGTCAGGAGATTTTGGGGTCTCTAAAGCTTAGCAAACAAAAGTGGATGGGTTTAGGCATTTACAGAGTAAAAATACAACTCCAAACATGTGGCTGATGCAAATACAAAACGTAAGGTACATCACAAGACAAGTCAAAGCTTAAATTGATGACTGAAGAGATGGAACTATTTTATTTATTCATTCACTAATACTTATTAGTACTTATTTCTTTTGCTCAAATCTTTAACTACTGGCAAATATTTCTGCCTGCAGCTCTTTTCCTTAATGTTTGCCTCCTGAAAGTATTTCAATTCCAAGAGAAGTGAAATACTGCAAACACCACATATTACATCATCTGGCTATGCCATATATATATATATATCTAAAGATCACAATGAAAAGGGCAACCTTGACAGAAAATAAATCTATCATCAAACATCAACAAGTGCTGATGCAAATGTCATAATCTATAAACAATGATTGTTTCTCGCTTCCGGGTCTTAACAACGTAAATTAAAACATGAAATGTGCAAATATTTTGTTAAAATACGCAAATGTCGGTATGAGTATGACCATTTATATCAGCTATACCAATTTAGGAACTAAGGATTTCCTGGGAACCAGTGGTCAGAGTTTCTGCTTAAGACACTGACAACCTATCAAGTCTCGAGAAGTACATCAATATGCCATGATAGTCTAATATATAATACACGAGCCAAGCAAAATAATGATATATTTAGTGCCAGAAAGACATACTCGTCGAACAAGATTAAGGCATAGGTGTCTTTGGATTTGACGACGAAGGTCCAAAGGCAAAGATTGCAAGATCTCTTCTTCATTAACTCCTCTTGTTGCAAGCCATTTACATTGATCAAAACGGCGAACACGTTCTTGCAAGTCTTCAGGCAACTGTCGATGTCTCATCCATTCTTCAATATCTCTTTTTCTAATTCTCCATTCCTCAATTTTTACAGTCATAGATTGCAGATAAGTCTGGAAAGGGCAGAAATTCAGAAGTATATCAAGGACAAAGAAGCATGTCCTAAACTAGATGAAACAAATCTAAAATGGTAGCTCAAACTCTTAAAAACCCTTACAAATCACCGACTAACCCCTAAGCGTAATCTGAAAGCAGTATCCAACTCAACCCAGAAGTAATGTTGAATAATATTATACTATTAATCCCAATGGACCTAAGCTGCTTATAATTTGAGATTATAGGGAACATATCTAGAGTAATGGCACATAGCAGGACTGCTAACTTGAAAAATGAAATTAAAGCTCTTAGAGATTTCTGATTACTCTTCAAAGAATTAATCCAACTCCGTACAATATTTAGCTGGTAATTAGCACATTATGTAAATCAACTATCACAAATTAACAAAGTTATCATGTTTAACATTGCTCTAGAGGTGAATAATTATAACAACTTGAAGGTGTCTGACATAACATGTATAGATTAATCATTCATGTATATAAACCATGGTGAAATTACTTCAGATAACTGCACTAGGTGATACTAGTGATCTATACAGACAAATCTTATCCTCAAAATCTTACCTGCATGTTTCCAATTAACTGTGCAAAGAGAACTAAACCGATGATACTTATGAAAATGCTGAATAAGGTTTCACCAATATATGTGCTAGTATTCAAATTCTGCCCATATGAACTGCAAGACAACATTCGTAAAGATAAACATAAGATTTCTACCTGGAAAAAGAACCGAGTAATTTGATGGTATCCTAAGCAACAAAGGAGACAAGAAATTCATTTTAAACAATTTATGTGATCCAAAATCACACTAGTCTTGATTGTGACATTTATGTGGTAGCCATACATGATCCAAGACAGTTTACAGAGGATCAGTATACTTTATCATTTACAATGATTAACAGCGGTGAAAATGCTTGCCAAAAATTCAGTAGCTGAGATAGACAAGGGTGAACATTTATGAATTCCTAGTCCAGTCTTAGCTGCCTGATGAATTAACCAAACATAAGAGACAGGGTACCAAACAGACAGAGTGACTTGCATATTCGGATGCAGATCTAAACGCAAAGAGTCCTTTAAAAGCCAGACTATATTACATAAATTCTATCAGAATGTATTAGGTGGAAGCAAAAGCAGCAAAAGTGAAATAATATTTTTCCCAATTTTCATTTCAAGAAGATGACTCCATTCATTTCAGATGCTCCCATATTACCCCTTAATTAGTCCCTTTTTTTTATAGGAATGATTTGACATTAAGACCAAAAGATCTAAGGGTTTCTTTTGGTAAGACATTTATATTTAGCGTATGTGTAAATAGTATTTCTTTCTCAAATACTGTCATATAAATAACAAAAAATGAAGGAGTATGTCAGAAGAGGAATGTCCCTAGGAATTACTTTGAGACGCCAACTTTCAATTATAATCACCAACACCATTGAATATGCAAAACTGAGAATGAATGAAGAAGAGTAAATTTGCAGTTGAAGAAATCAAACCTTAAATTTCTTAGACCCCACCAAAGACAGTATAAATATTTTGCCAAGAACGATGATGAAGCCACTTCATTAGTAAAGGCATCAGCGAAAATTCCAAACTTAAAACCAGAATCTTCATCATTTACAGCATCACATTTCTCAAGCACTCGTGTGCTGTTTCGCCAGTAATCGCGTATATAACTATCCTCATCAACATTGTTACAGTCCAAAAATTCAAGAATGCAGGGTGGAACTGCATCACGCTCCTTATTACATTCAATTGCCCAGCAAGAGAATTGTCTTCCTATAGATGCCACGTACCAGGAAGCTCCTGCCACCTGCACACAGAAGAAAAGGCGGCAACAATTCTCAAACCAGGTCTCAAATAAATTATTACGAAATAAAAGGAAATGGGAAATGAGCGTTTACATGACTTGCTAACATGAACAGAAGGAGATTATAAGCTGCTCCTGCCCAGGCTGTTTTAGCAATAAAACCTGTAGTTTTGATAATCTGCTGATTTAATGGGAAAATAACGAATAACCTTGGCACATATTGTATGAGAACGATAAGTGCAAGTGTACTTTTGGAATGACCCGAACCATTTCTTTTGGCTGCTGGGATTACATAGCGAATAACAATCTGCAATGGCACTATTAATTAAAAATAACAATAATAAAAGTAGAGTATTAAACTAAATGGATATGTACTGACTTGAGGCAGGGGAAGAGCAGCTGTAAAATCAACGATGAAATCAGTTTTGAGATATCGTATAGCAATTTCACGGGGATCCATAACAAGCTCACCCCGGCCGAAAACCCTAGAGCTAGGAGCAACAAAAGCTGTGCGGAACTTCATGGCAATGTGAAGGAAGTAAAAGATGTCGGTGAGAGAACGATAGATGGTAATTTCACGGGCGGCTTCGTCATCAGTGGACATACAAGCTCTATCGCTGACGAAAGGTACGTAGAAGTAGAGTGGATCGATGAAAAGAGAGATGAGACAGGTAAGGAGGAAGACATAGTTCCAGCGATTGACGATATCGCTGTTTGGATCGAGAATTTGGCGCCACCATGGCACATCGTTCGAAAATGATTTGTTCTTCAAAGATTGCTGTAAATGACGGAGGTGAGACGCCGGCTTTGCAAATATTCTAGTCATCTTCCATGGCGGAGTCCGATATCAAAATCGGATTCCGGAAGATTGTCTCTCTTCTGGAAAACACAACAGATTCCAATAATTTTTTTGTATTATGAATGAAACAGTGAGTGAAAATTAGCGCTAGAAAAGAAGGAAGAATGAATTAAGAGTGTTCCATTGAAGCTCCTTTTTTCATCAAAGCTTCCTTTACTGCCATTGAAAATTGTGTGAGGAAAACCTGTGACTTCGGAAGGTTGTAGGATTTGGTTAACAACACATGTCAAAGTTTCAAATACAGTATTAATTAAAATACTTAACATCCTAATCATCATTAGAATTGATTTATTTTCTTCAATAAGCATTATTTCATCATACTGGAAAAAAAAAAGCGGGAAATTAGGTACAATGAAATGGGCTTACTAGTGCGACCACGAAATGGGCCAGGCCCCATTTGGATTCCTTTTCTTTTCTTTGGGTCTTTCTTTTGTGACATAACCTCACATACTTTA